TAATAATTTCTTTTTCTTAGTGTAACTTCCTCAGAAAAAGTGGATAAAGAGAACAGATACAGTGACTTTGTGATATTATCTTTGCCTTATCCAGGTAAGGTTTAACTACATTCTTTTTTATTAGTTTGTATGAGAAATTTTAATTTTTAACATAGAATGTCCTTCAATTTAGTGCTTAACATTCATTTCTAGTAGAATAACTATTTTAATTATCTGCATATAGTCTGGGGTATTGTAAATTTCTTACTAAATTTGAATGCTAGCATTTAGTATATTGTGCTGTTTTGTTAATTTTTGCTAATTCATCCAAATTTAAATTTGTGAAAATGATTCAAATGTAGAGAGAATATGCCATAACAGATGAGACAAAAGGCACAAAATTAACTTTGTAGCAACCAAACCTCAACAAAAAGCTTTAATATGCAACCTTTTTATTAAGTTTTCAAATGTTTTCGGCAATTTGAATGACCACCTTCAGAAATAGAAATCGAATGATTCCAATTTCTATAAAACAAAGTTTGTTTTGGAACTATTTTCAAATGTTTAAAATCACAAAATCACAAAGCTTTAACAAAATATGCATGGAGAGTTACCACTTAATACATCTAGGCTTCATGAAATTTTTCTTTACAATCAGTGTACTTATTAAAAGATTATTGAATTAATTCCCAGTGTCATTTTAAATTATCAAAGAAACAATATTTACATCATGAATTGTGATAAAATTTAATTTAAACATTATTCTGAAATTTTATATAAAAATAATCTTGCTGAATCTGAGAAAAAGTTTAAACTTAGGAAAATCAACAGATTGTAATTTTGTGAAGATCAAAATATGTTGTAGGAATAAGAACTTAATTTTTTTAATTTTCATGTTTTGCATAATTTCCTAAACTGAATAATCAAAAAAGCATAACTTACTTTGCATGAGTTAACAGACAAATATTTTTATTGAACATGAAATTAAGATGTTAAAGAAAAACCAAAAACAATACAAGAAATAACTGTAAAATATTTCATTTTTTCTGAAGATTTGCAAAGCAGTATTAAATGTAAGAGTATTACAGGGTTCCTATGCACCTGGAAAGTCAGGAAAAATCAGGGAATTTGCCTCCTTGACTGCCTTGTTGAATTTTTTTTCTGACAATATGCTTGACTAAATGTAGCAATATCCAGGCAGCAAGAAGTAACGTGGTGCAATACAACTTATGAAAAGGGTGCAGAATATTTTCAGGACCTAAAATTTCTCCCAAAATTTACGAAGTAAAAAATGATAACATTTAAATTAAAATTATTTATCTATCATTTTTCATTTTAATAATTTTGATTGTGTAATAAAACAAGTTTTGATTCTTTTCCAGTTGATTAATATTTTATAAAGTTCAGGAAATTTATTAAAGGATAAATTTAATAAATATATACTTCTGTACATGGATTATACAGGATTTGTTAATGAATGATAAATAATGGCTTTTTTTTCTTTTATCAAAGCCATGTAGATTTATGGTTGTGGATTAATAACAGAATAAACTAATTTAATAAAACATTTTATTTTTTGTTTTAATAATTTGGCAATTATGAAAATACAGTCGAGTCAGCATAAGTTGACACCCCAAGGGGAAGTGGAAATGTGTTGAGTTATCCGATATTATGACTAAAACAAAGTTGAAAAAAAACCACAAAACTACAATTATGAAAATACGGTAGTGCATTATACAGTACATGCAATTTATCTCTGACCAGTCATCACTGGCACTAAATTTTGTTTCTACTCCAAGTATCTCAGCGATTTCCATCGCTTTTGTTTCATTATCGGCCCCGAAACAGGAAGATTTGATGAACAAATTTGCTTTAGCAAACTTACCAGAGCATCTTCGACATAATTGTACGGCAACTTTCTCTGGCGTTTTAGAGACAGCTGCAATGAAAACCCAAGAAAGTTTTTTAATTTCCTTCTTTTTCTTCAGAATTTTCACCAATAATAATGTTGTTCTTGAAGGTTTTCTTGTTTTGCAAATTCGGCTTGCAAAGTTTTATTACACTCAAATTCAGATAAAAGTTCATATTTTTCCATTGTTAAGTTTTTGGATACTCATTTGTAACAGAAATGTGAAACACTTCTGCAAATAATGCATGAATGAAAGGTGAGAAAATGCAAAATCAGATTCTACTGTGACATTAAGCTGTGTGGTGTGAACTCATTTTTTTTTCAGGAGGGGAGTCGACTTATCAGATGTCTAAATGAGTGTGGGACAGAAAAAGTATGTCAATTTATCCTGTGGTGAAGAGTTAAACAGTGTTAAGTAAACCAGAGTTTTTTTTAATGTTAATGCATATGTAAGTTGGCTGGGACCACAGAATACTAACTACTTAACAGACTGTGTAGTTATACCTATGATGACTTACGCAGACTCGACTGTATATATAATTAAAAAGTTGGAGAGCAATAGTGTATGTGCATAGTAAGCCAAATGTTGTTTTATTTTGTCAATGTACCATACTGTAAACAAAGACTCAAGAGGGCATACAGAAACATAGCTGGCTAGACCTGGGTATTTTTGGCTTGCCTAGGCCCTTGTGCCACAAAACCCCAAATCCAACCAACCATACTGTAAGGGACATGAGGGTCAGAGAATTTGTACAAAGTTGATCAGGGAAAATCATGGAATTTAAAACAAAAATTTGAGTAGGAACCCCTATCATTAATGAACTTTATCTCCTCTATATTATTTGATTATTGAACTTGGTTAAGAAAAGTTGTATTAAATCATAAATTATAGTAGTAATTTTAAAATCCTGTCAATATTTGGTGCTTCTGCCCTGTACAGTATCTCTCTCTCTCTTTTTTTTCTTTTTTAATCTTTGAAATTGGTTAATTTGCATAAGTTATTTCAATTAATTCATTATAAGTCAATAAATCATGAGGATTATATTATAACTGTGCATATTTAAAAATTAGGTTATTGATATGATTGTAATGAATTTTCAAGTAAATGTTTTTTTAACTTTGTCACATTACAGTGAATAGTAGAATTGTAAGGATTTGTCCCTTCAGAAAAAATGAGATGCAGAAGTAAATGTAGTCTATTTACTATAACTTAATTTCATTTTTTCTGAAGGTCATATAAACTTCCATTTTTCTAATACAGAAATGATCTTAAACAAGCCAATAGACCTACTCAATAGTACATTGATTATTCTAACTGGTAATCATTACAATTTTATAAACTCTTGATCTACTTTTGTGAAAATGGTAACAAAAATATTTATATGCAGGTTGTATGAATATGTCTATCCAAGAAGACAGAATTGCTGCTGTTTTGCATGTTTTAGTGGATTAATGTACACAGAAGTACAGACAAACTTTAAATTCAGGAAGTCTGTTTCTATCAGGACCCATATCAGACTGTTGATTACCAAATTTGGCAAACAGGTAATGTACATGATGCACAATGTCTGGGAAACCTACCATACCGAACAAAACAGTTCAACCTGTAGAAACTGCAATGTAAAAGTGGACTACGCCACCTGCCAAGCAATGTATCGTGATTACTTAAATGTTATGGAACAACAGGATTTGACTGCACTTCCATGTATATAAATCCACTCAAGCATATGCAAACAACAGTGATTGTTTTCTTGGGTCAGCATACTTTACATGACTCGCAAACAAATGATTTTGTTTCCATTTACACAAAATTGGATTGAGACTTTATAATCATCCTATAATTACAAAAAGCAGGAAGACAATTTTTTATAATAAAATGGTAAACTGAGATTAACAATGAAGAAGGTAAGTATTACTAGGATATACGTATAGAACAAGATATAATTCTTTCTAAATATCACATATATGAAGAAATAAAAACAATAGTAATTGATATGTTCTCTTAAGTAATTTCTTTTGAAATATCAATTCTTTACTTTACAAACATATTTATTTTCAGGCATTTTTAATTTAATTTTTGTTGTATTTACATTTAGAATAATATATGATGTGTTAACGTTTTTAATGTAAAATCTATTTTTCTAAAATTAAACATCGTTATTTTTCAGGTTGTGAATTTTTTGTCAAATTCAGAGACAATAATTATTCTGGAGAGAAACTGGTATTTGATTGGACACAAGTAAGTTAGAAAATTTTACATGTAATTTATAAACAAAGGTTCTGGATACTCTAAATATTTCACATTAATGTAATCTGTTTACATTAGCATTTAATGCTTGTAACTATTGAAAAATTTTAAGAATTTTTGATAATCAGAATTGAATAAAAATTACCATTTGAATCTAGCATCCAAATGAAAATTTTTAAAATAGTATTTTAAATACTTATGTACACTTAGAACCTTTTCAAAAATACTTTTAGTGATAGCTTTAAATACTGTACATTGACTTAAATGATATTTATTCATTTTTTACAAATACTTAAGTATGCATTTATACTTTATTTGAAAGGGCTAATGATTAAACACACATTTGCTTTATGCTTATGTATCATTTCAGAATATGATCTGGTATTTGTGAGATTGCAGCCTATGTTTCCAATGCGAAAATGTGTACATCAGATGTTCAGTGCCACCATCCTGTAAGCTTAAAAGTTTGGCAGTGGCATTTGGAATGTCAAGTGTGATTCCACTGATGTTCCAAACACCATTGTCAAACTTCCAGAATTACAGAATGGTGGTGCTGAATGTCAGACACACGTTTTTATGTTGAAAATGTCAGCCCGCAACCTTGCTATTGATAATTTAAAACTTAGATTTTACTACAGTTTGGTGAAAAGAATTATTTCAAATGTTTTTTGATTTGTTTAATCATAAGTTTTTTAAAATACTGTGTACAATTTTAGAATTATGGGGAAATTACAGGAACAGCTGTAGAAAAAAAGCTGGAATTAACACATTTAATTTATTTAAAAAAAAAAAAACATTTAACAAGAATTTTTCCTTGTAGTACATTTTGTACATGAATTGAAAATAATGTTCATTTGCATATAAATCAATTTTTAAAATTTTCTTCATAAATTAAGTTACTCGGTTATTATTAATAAAATACACAAGTTTATTAAAATTTTAAACTTCTGATTATCATAAACAAATCAACATTTAAAAAAATGTTTGTTTTCCATATATTTATTCTTTATATTTAATCATTCAGACTTAAAGTAAAGTTTTTACAATATAATGTATATTTAATGTTCATTTTATTTATATTTTGATTAATGCACATTTTGACTGTATAATGAATTAAAAACAAAAATGGTAGACAAAATATTAGTTTCAAAGTCAGATACAGCTTATCTGTTTACATATAATTTTAATGTTTTATTTCTCTCTTAAAAATTAAATCAGATTCTTAGTTCTTTTTTCTCATGTCTTAATTTGCATTTTTTTTTTTTAATTAATAAAAAGTAACAAAGGAAGAAGTGGTATATATAATTTTCAAATTTGCAAGACTTTTATTTTTATGATTAATTAATATTAATATGAAATAGCCAATAACACATTTATTTAAATCTAAGTAATGGTTTTCTTCAATTAACTGTCTAATGTCTAAATATTGAATAAAAATGAGTTGAGAGATTGAAGTATTTGTTGGATAATTAGTTTTTTTTGTTTCAAATGAAATTATATACAGTAGAACCTCGAAAACTCGGCCTAATGTGGACCGAAGGGTGGCCGAGTTTGTGAAAATGCCGGNACAGAGAATGAACTGCCCAAATATCCTTAAACAAAGGAAAAGTACGTTCTTTATGAAGGCATAGAGCCTTTACTACATGAAAATGAAAATTAATGAATACACTGTGTACAGTAATTTACCTGATAAGACAGACCTCAGAAAAATACTTTATGAGAGATTTATACTTTTATAAAGCTGTCTATAATGAAAATTAATTAACTAAGGATGTTTTTGCTTTGCCAGGGTGATGCCGAGTTATCCGGAGTGCCGGGTTATCGAGAACCGAGTTTTCGAGGTTCTACTGTATTGGAAATATCAATTGAATGAATATTTAATTTCTCAATTTCTTTAGACATTACTAATTGTTTTTCAGATTCAAAAATTATTATTGTACTATCAGATGAGCCTGGCATTACTCAGGCAAAAAGTAACAATAGTGAAGATTAAGATTATTAGATTATAGCTGATCTTGCCTATTTTTACCGGGTGCAAGAATTAGGTTCACCCTCTTCCGAGACTAATTAGAACATATTTTTAGACCCATCTAAAATTTCTCTAATTCCTGCAAACAACCGCATATAAAATAGTAGTACAGTAGAAGCTGAGTTCTTCAGATTAAGCCTTAATCCTTTCCCTCTCCCTTGCAGGGGGGGAGAATTTTGAAAAATCCCTTCTTAGTGTGCACTTATTATCATTATCAACCTCTTCTCAATCTCTCTCTCTCTATATATATATCAATTGATATTGTCAATTGATTATATTAATTTTCAGATGGCTTACTTTTTACAAAAGATTGAAATTTATTTTTTATTTAGGATTTTGTTAATGCCCAACTCATTGTGCCTAATGATGATATTGGTTCTCACTTAGAAATTCCCTGGAATGATTACAGAGTAAGTGCTTACACTTTTATATGCAAAATATAATTATAAATTTAAAAAATTATGCAAAAAACTGTTTTCAGGAATGGGATTTGGTTATATTGACAAAGAATTATTTGAAATTACTCCTTAAATATATTTTTGAAGGTAAGTACCATTTAATTGAAATTTATTATTATTATTTTTTTTACTTTTTCAAAATGGCACAATTTTTATGATTGTGAAAATAAAAATACATTACCAACAAATATTTTAAAATATTAAGTTGTAATTCACTTTGTTAGTCTAAAGTTTTTGCTACCTAATTTTTGAAAAGTTTTTTTTCATTTATACAGTATGGTTTTACTCTACACTTTACATGTAAAGTAAGACCATACTATACTAAAAATATATTGAAATATGCTATATATAATAAATAGCAGGTACTGTATAAAATGAAATTTTGTGTAAATTGTGTTCCATCTCAGTTTTGGATAACTGCCTATATTGTGTTTATCCTTACTACTTTCTGTCTGTAAACAAATTCACATGATTGAACTTCCAATTCAATGGTTACAAAACTATGAACAACATATTTACTAGAAAAATAAAGTTATTCTTTTTTTGAGATGGTCACTTTCTCAAACAAAAAGCAATATTTAAATTTGATATTTTGGTTGCAATACAGAAGTATGAGCCCAGAAACTTTTTATTGTAGCAAGAGGAATGAGTCAGTCAAAATAACATCAATTGTAATGCCTCTTAGAATAATAATTGTTTAATTTTGGATATTTACAGTTTAATGTGAATATTGCTATGTATTGGTATTGTATTTGTTTAGCAGTGTTGAGAATAAACTTATATTATCAGAACTGCAGATAATGAAGTTCTCCAACTGCCACCTTAACACTGGATTTAACATCTGATAATAAGGTGGAGTCTGAGATTAATTTTGAATCTAGGTTACATGGCAAGACACAACAGCATGTTAGTTGTATGAATCACATATTAAGTGTTGCTTAAGGTAGAAGTTGATCAAAACTGACACAGCTATTTATCACATTATTGTAGAAAATTTACATGGAAAACAGTGTGGAAAATGGATTTTATCATAGATAACAAAGTAGACAATGTAATTATAAATATTGCTGATACCCTCTAGCAGAGACCTATTACTCTGTGATTCAGTTATTTTTCTTTACCAGAAGGTGGTACTTAATATACAAAAATATTGAATTTATACATTTAATACCATTGTTATAGTACACACCATGAAAGATCTGTAAAGTTATGTGATGATATGTGACAAAAATCTGTAGTTTTTTGATATGTTCTTTGCTTTTGGCAAGCTGTGGTACAAAGAGTGTGGCCAATCATAAGAGGAGTGGCAGATAGATACAGAATGATTTTATTTACAGTTTATTCACTCTTATTCCATACAGAATGTAGACATTTATGCAACTGCTTGCAATTAAATTTTCTATAATGAATGACATTTTAGTTTGATGATTCTGAATGTATAGAGAGAAACTTTATTATACTATATTTCTTACAATATTTGGGAGCTAACAAAGCAGGACTTTCACCACAGTTTTTAGAAGTGTGGTGAAAATCCTGTTTTGTGGATCTAATCATTCAACATTTTCAAATATACAAATATATTAGTCCTATGCAAAACAAGACCATATCCCATTTTTCTAAGTTAAAAATCTCAGGATTTGTTTTAATTTTGAAGTTGTTGTTCACCAAATATAAATCTATTGTTGCTTTGTGAAATAAGTATTTCTAAACTTTAAAAACGGTCAATACTTGATTATCTGTTTCTAAAAAATTTTATGTAAATGGAGTATTCAGATTTTTAAGTTTGAGAAGAGAATTTGTTTTTAATCAGTTTTCCTTTATCAATTTACTGCTTTTTTGATATAAATAGTATCTTAAGATTTGTTTTATTTATCTTAATAAATTTATTTTGATATTGAACAGACAAGGAATAGAGGCTAATTTTACATATATCTGTGACATGAGATGTAGAATATACAATACAACATCAATTTAATAATCCAATGATTGCCTAGATAATTGGGCTATAATAGGGCTGTAAACAATATCTATACTAATATTATAAAGAGGTAATGTTTGTATGTATGTATGT